AATTGGCCTCCCTGGCTGCTGTGTTAAAAGTTTTCACAAAATCGAAAAATAACATTACTTTGTTGGCTGCCTTTCCTTAACATTCTCACCAATTTTTAGCTCAATGGCACCATTGGAACTTGGGAAGTTTAAAATATGTTTTCAAGAAAGGTGGCCATCTTGGAATTCATACCTGAAAAATAACACCACTTGGTCGCTACCATCTCAAGATCATTTCAGACAAAATTGAGCTCAATCCCACTGGTGGAATCTAAGCAGAAGTTTGAAACGTCAAAAGTTTATGCACGGCAGATGGCTGAAGGGGCAAGAAGACAGACAAAGCATGATGGCTATAAAAATATATAAAAATTAAGATCTCATGGAGTGTGATTGTATGAAGTTCTAAACAAGCTGAAAATAAGTCTAAGATATGTAGTGATATGGGAAGAAAATGGTTCTGAAAGCTCATGGATAAAAAACATCATTATGTAAGATTTTGAGGTCTTTCTTCTGTTTTATCTCATATAGATGTATTTAGCAATAAATGTTCGGTTTCTGAAAGATGTGTGATGGGGTTTTTTTTGTGAAGAAACTGTTTGTCCCACGTGGCCTTTTGTCAATGCAAGATGATGACTATAGCATGCCTTGTACAATGTACAAAGCATCAAGAAATGCTGAAGGATCAGGCTTTCATAAATAGTGCTGTAAATACATGGAATTGACAAGAGATCGGATGAATTATTCTCAGATACATTAAGACAGCATACCTGTTGGATTTCCAAAGGGAACTCATTTATATTCTGGTCCACACAATCCAGGCAGAATCTTTTTGTATAAAATATGCTGCAACTCTGAAAGCAAACAACACCAAACAATGATTTATGACATGCACAATACAGAGTTAGTTACATCAACAATGTAGAGTTGAAAACCACTTATAATGTAATAAGAAATTGAATGTTAATCATCCTTTCAAGTACCAAACTTTGAGTTAGGTATCTTATATTTAGTGTTCCTGCTTCACCATATCAACATGAAACAAAAATTCATGTAATTTTATGTCTCATGTGTTTCCACTTCCCCCCTCCAAGTCTCCAAGTCTTCTGGGGTCAAATCAACTTTCTGATTCATGTCATATATCTCATGTGTTCCCACTTCCCCCTCCAAGGCTCCAAGTCTTCAGGGGTCAAATCAGTCAAATAAACTTTCAGAGTATAAATGATCGCCCATCCCTAATGATTTTTCAGACCAAATCTTGTTAAAATCAGGAAAAGATTTCCAACAGGGCAGGCTGACAAAATAAACATGATGACTCTAGGTCTTTTTGACCCTTTTGGTCAATCGAACAAGCTTGTAATATTTCAAAATATAATTTGTTAAATAATCAGTAATCAATAAATTCTTACCGGTGAGCAACAGACCGACAGCTTACAATTGTAACAGTGAGAGCCCAGTGTGATAATCCCTCCGTCAGAAGAAAACGGGTCCTTCTTTACATAGGATTCTTCCAGTAATCTTTAAAAAATATATCAACGCTCATTGACATAATAGTTGTTTTCAGAAAATACGCTGATTAAAATGGAAACCCAGTTTACTGTAATTTTCGTCGCTTTGCCAAAAGCTTACAGCAAAAAGGAATGCATTTTCCACTGAAGGCACCGAAAATGTTTTCCGTCAAATGTCGTTTTGTTTTTTTTAGTAACAAATCCATACCCCAGTTGATAGGCCAGTTTATGTATCGTACACAAATCTGTGGTTTAGTGTACACACGGACAGTATTCTGTTTATGATTTTGAATTTGATTTTTATAATCATTTCATCATGTTTTAAAAATCTGAACTGCAATCAATCATAAAATAAAATGGAACCCCGAAAACTAACAGATCAAATATATATATATATATCGATATATTGTAGCAGAGTGTCAGGCCTCAGGATGAGAAAAACGCATTTCATCCGTCGAAACTGGAGACCCAGCACAAGAGACGAGCAGGCCAGATTCCGCAAAGGCAAAAACATTAACAATGTCATTACTTACAGAATCGATTTCATAAACGGTGGTTTTGATCCGAAGTATTGAAAATTTGCTGAAAAGTCGCATCTTTTACAAATAAACGTCTTCACGTTCTCTTCCTTTCCACTGGCAGAAGAGCCCGCCATTGATTATTTTCAAACATTACAATGACGAAGACTGGACGCTTTCATTTATTCCCAAGCACTTGTACACAACTATTTGTGTTTAATTGTAACATTTTCAACGGTAAGTTTAGTGACGTTGCAGGTAACAAGAAATTAATTTATCGTATTGCAATGAAGCAATGCATTTTGACAAGGAAAATTTATAAGTGTACCTAAATGGATAACTCTACTTTGTATACTAGTAACACCGAAACAACCATCGCCAAATAATACGATTTCCGGTATTTCGTCATCGATATCGAATTTACATTTTGGTGCCCTCTCCGGTATGGCCGAAATAGCTCAGTTGGGAGAGCGTTAGACTGAAGATCTAAAGGTCCCTGGTTCGATCCCGGGTTTCGGCAGTAAAGTTTTATTTTTACAAATCGTTCCGGACATGCATCACATACCAACACTAGAAAAGTAGCTGGGAACAAACAACATATTGCTGGATCTTGACACACCATTTACCTCACAAATAAATACTGAAAATTCACCACTAGCCTATTCATCTAATTTTTTCATTAATATTGCCTTAAAAAACAGCAAGAAAATACCCACTTTAATTCAAGTTCAATGTAATTCTTGGATGATATACGGGGAACCTTGAACATTTCTATTTCATCAACAACACCCATCAACCAATCAAGCTAAAGAGAAGTTCTCTCTAGCCTTGTGGTATATTGCAGCTAGTATTTTACCAGGGTTATATACTCCCACTCCAGGAAATAACTCGTCCTCGAGTTTCCAGGAGTTACAGCGATGCTGGTGGGGTATGGCCAAGTACTATTCCAGGGTCCCTTCATGGGCCCCAATGTAACAGAGATCATTATTTTTTTCAGTGCCTCCACTAGGACTTGAACAAGGGACCCCTGGCTTACTGGTCTGATGCTCAACCACTCAGCTAGAGAGAACTTCTCTTTAGCTCTATTGGTTGAGCATCAAAAGTTCTTCAATCTTCAATTCTCAAAAACCTGTGTTGTGTCTGTAAGCTGTGAATGTCTCTGACAAAAATTGATATCGGGAACAATCCCTTGAATATCATATAAATTGAGGTGTGTCAATATCAGACGTTTAAGAAGCAAGAATATTGCAACATTTCCATATAAAAATTGAAGCAATCAAAATTATCATGTTTACCATACAGTTGATGGGAGCTGTTCCTACTGGTTTTGACGTAGCTTAGATCAGGGTCAATGTGGCGATATATGTAATGTTTAAAACTTTTCCAATGAAAGTTGTAGTTGGTGTTGTCTGCTTAATAATATTAAGAGATTTTAAGGATTAATTTGATTTCAAAAAAAAAAAAAAAAAAATTAAAGATAAGTAGGCCACTGAATTAATTACTGGTTGTATTTTCAAATCAAATAGATCTTAATATTATATTAAAACTGCCTTCAAATATCTTGACAGCCCTTGTCACCACCATTTGAGATTCATTTTTACTTTGTAAATTGCTGACTCCATATTACCCTTGATGGCCTGATCACACCTGAAATGGGTCATTTAGAGTACTTTACAAATCATATCTACTTTTTCTAAGAGACCAATTGTCTGCATTTGATCATATATGGTACAAATGATTGCAGGAAGATAGAAATTTGAAAATATACCATGCAAAATGCTAGCCGACCCCTTAGGACTCCCCTATGGTCTCTGCCTGGAGTTTATGCGATCATCCCCATCTGACCCAACTGCCATATCCACACATGATTAATATAGTGACACACAAAACAATTCCTGCTAGACTACCATAACTATATATACTTGTATATTCTATACATACTGTGCCTATCTGCGTATCATGCAACTATCATAACTGCTATAAAATAATGCACTTAATAAACACTTTTTTTTCAAAAAGTGCAGGTTTCTGTCATATTTATTGGTGCTCCACATCCCTCCCCTACCCCCGCCAGCATATTTTGAGATACCTACTAGGAGTGTGTGTTTGTGGTCAGTCTTATACGATGTCCATTATATATCAAGTTATTAGACTCTGTATTTATTGCACTAAATTTGAACTGAAACCAAAATATGTCAAATTGTAATTGGCTTTGATTTATCAAGTGAATGAAAAGGCTAACCAGTTATGAAAACCAAGAACTGCAACTTAAGATTTACAAAAGTAAGAATAAAATTGCAAGCATATCTGCTCATATTCCTCGATGTTTTTTTTTTGTTTCACTGAAATTGGTGTGGAAGTTTTCAAGCTCTAGTAGCAATTTCTAGTGTAGTAGCCACTATACTTACTCCAAGACCATTTCTCTGGCCTTAAAGATGATGAACTAGATTTTTTTTTCTCTCAAAATTTATAACGTGGGTATATTTGGAAGGTCAAAGGAATATTATTCATCCATGCAACATATGGGTGGTCTTTCAAAATTGTGTTGCTCTGGTAGGTTTTGTTGTGGTATGGTGACAATTCACTATCAACATACTTACAATGTAAATTTGCATATCCACAATAATTGCTATATCAACACCATATGAAAAATGGAAATTAGCACAATACTTTCAGTGCCAAAAATATAAGTTTACAGTATTCAATGCAGAGGCCATACAACTGTCTCCTATTATAAAGGTGTTTTTTCTTCAATGGTGCAAATGTTTGCAGCTTTACCAAAAGCTTGATGCAAGAAGTCTTTTTTTTTCTAGAAATGGACTTGTTTTCATAAACTCTACCTTCAAGGTATATTTTATGACTTCGTTAAATCTTCACAAATAACCTGTATGAAAATTGCACAGATGTCTGCAAATAGTTCTGAATTACTTGCGCATGGAGACAATGATTTAACAAAAACACATTAAAACACAGAGAAAATAAAAAACACGACAATATACAAGTTTCATAAAATGATTTACTTGACTTCTATCCACTAGTGGACAATAATCCCATAAGCAAAGTACAAAGCTGACCAGAATATCAGACAATACAAGCCAATATCTATATCCAGTCTTGTTCAGACTACCAACTTAAGGCAGAAAGAGAGAAAGAGAGAGAGAGAGGAAAGAGAACATACTTCTGGGATCCACTAGTGTTGGAAGCTTGTTAGTTTATTATGTTGCAGTGATCTAATCACCAGTCAAATGCCAAAATAGCAACTGACAGCAATATGTCACTGCCCCCCTTTTTGTTTATATAATACACTGTAACCTGATATCTGTACAGGTATGAAAATAATGTTTAATTCGCTGTGTACATAAAGCCATCCATATCTAGTACCTATTTCATGAAACACAAAATTTACCCCCTTTAAAATCGATTTTGGTTGATATATATTACACAAAATAAACCTCTGTACAATGAAATACTAAATGAATGATTAATGGTCATTTTGAATGAAAATGGAACAATCAAAAAAAGGTTAATACATGTCAAAAATCTTGCCTCATGAAAAACTCTTTCAGAAAAAAAATTAAAAAAATAGATGGCTTATATTTACAATGAAAAAAATGCAGTTATGTACAGACACGGCAAAATGACTCTCTTCCTTCCAAACACACTTACATCCGAAACCCCAACATATTGAAACAGATGAAGGGATGCAGAGAAATAATAAATACAACTCCCAAACCATTTATTGGGCAAAATAACCTGCTCATCAATAGGTAATGATTCCTATTTACACCAACAAATATTGCCCTATTGAGACTTACTAAAGCAGACAAACTTCCAAGGCAAATAATGCAGTCAGTAAACATGATTTAAATGCCTTGCTTTTAAGATTCATTCATTAACTTTAAATGCCATATAATGTAAACACAATAATTCAAAAAATAGTAAGAAATACAGTACTTCATGCCACAACACAGTCTTCCATAAAAGGGTCTTTTATCTTTTTTTTTACATGGTAATTATGTTATCTGGGTGTTACAATATCATGGCTGTCAAGCACACGATATTACATAAAAAATATTTGCCAACTGAGAGTGTAGCAAACAAGTACAGCTTGAAAAAGACTTCTGGATTTCACTCATATTCCAATTTTTTTTTAAATGCTGCATTACACATAAATGATATGAGCAAATTTTGCATGTTTCCCCCCCTTCTTACAACACTTTAGAACAATATCAAAAGAATTTTGAAAGTATTTGTTTATAAGTACCAAATGTATGGGACTTAATGAAGTAATGCACATTAGTTAAGATCTACGAATACCAATAACATATATTTCTATTTCCAATAAAAACATTTGATCAGAAAGAATATCAGAGTAAAACATCATATACTTAATGAAGAATGTCTTAATTCAAGAAGGTCGAAAAAAAAAAAAAGAAAAAAAAAGAAGACATGTATAAATAAATCAATTAACTCACTCTTTCAATCACAATATAACCCATACACACAAAAATGACATCCTTCCATGATGGTCTCAATAAAGACCACCTGAGTCAGGGTAAACCTGCTGCTGATGGTTATGTCCTTTTTTCCTTTTCTTCCCGAAAAATTTTGATTTTCGTTGCACTGACCCCTGAGAGTGGTACTGTGATGGGGATTGCTGGTAGTGCTGTTTATGGTCACTATTTGACATTCCATTATAACCGTGGTTATACTCGTGCACCACAGGTGGTCCATTTGCAGGAGGTTGCTGTTGTACCTGCAGCGAAGAGGACTGAATCATATTAAAGTTTGAATTGCCATTCAAAGTAGAGTTGAACCCTGTCTGGTTTGATCCCTGGGGACCATTCATAGTAGAGTTGAACCCTGTTTGGTTAGGTCCCTGTGGGCCATTAATGGTGGAGTTGAACCCAGACTGACCTGGCCCCTGAGGGGACTGCTTGTAACTAACAGTGTGGTTGGTTGTGTGAGGATTATGTTGTTGTTGTAGAGCTGGTTGGTTGAAAGATGTTGCCTCATTATTCAGTATACCATGTTGTGTAATTCCAAGCCCTGAAATAGACATCATCAGTACAGAAATCATACACGTAGAATTCCATAGCCATATACAACTTGATTTCAAGAGATTTGTAGTACCAATTTTATTTTTAAAATGTACTTTCCTGACAAAATATACAAATTTGAGTGTATTGAAACAATGAATTGACAAACAAATGATTCCCCAACTCTTAATCCCTGATTCACTGATGTATCTTGCATCCTTTTCTAAATGTAAGGGATTACATCATAATACCTCTGCCTTGTTCAAATTTTTGGGGATTTTTTGCAGCAAATGTCAGTAAACAAGGTTTCAACCATTTACCAGTTGTGAAATGTAAATTGGAAAGTTAAAGGTTTCTCAGACTACAATAAATTTAGGGAATGAATCAAGATGACATCGATCATGCCATGGAATGAAACTTTTATGTGATATTGAATAAAAATTGTACAATTCAGCCATATTACTAAGTGGCAGGGTACAAGGGAAGATTAATTCATTCTTAAGTATTGTAATAATTTGCCAATAATTTGCTAATTAGCTAGAACTATTTCCTTTAATTATCTACAATCAATAATATAAGATAAAGGCACAAGAACGTGTAATAGGCATGTTTTACCCAAGTTTGAAAATATGACAATTTTCAAGACTGACTGACAGATAAATAGACCCTTTCTTACTTTGTTGTCATCACAATTTTATACAAGACTGATGGCCTGATGTAACCACATAACAGAGTAACATACCTTGGTCATTCCCCTGCTGAAGGTGTTGTCCTGGAAAGACCTGTGGTTGTGGAGATTGAGAAGTGGAAGGCCCATTACTGTTGACCGTTGGCTGTAGCTCCCTGGAGGGGAATGTCTGTATGGACATCAGTGACGGTATTTTACCTCCTTGTCTTGGGGAGGGCCCCCCAGTGGGAGCTGGTCCCGGGCCATTCTGCATAGGTGGTGCCTGTACCCCAGACATGTGAGGGTGGGGTGGCAACATTCCTGATGCCTGACCATGTCCCTGGCCATTAGGGACAGGTGGGGGTATGTGACCTGGTCCCACCATTGAGTGAGGAGGCATCATGCCTGGCGCTGGTCCATTGAGCATGGCTGAGTTCTGTCCCATTATATGAGCAGGTTGGGCAGGATGTGTACCCCCGTGCATGACCATGTCCTGCTGCATTGGCGGATGGAGGGGTGGCTGGCCTGTGTGTTGTTGAGGATGGTACATGGGTTGCTGAAAGCCTGGGTGATGTGGTGGAGGACCAATCGTTTGTTGTACTGGGGTCTGATTCTGTGGTTCTTGTCCTTGGTCCATATACTCTGTGGAAAGCAACAAATTATGTTAACAACAATAAATCTGTGTATACATCACTTGGAAATTTCTTTAAAAAAAATTAAAATGTGTTACTTTTTTCAAATATATATAATATACATTAGGATAACATGATAACAAAATTGCTGTACTAAATCAGTGTTTAAGTACTGTTTCAAAATTTGAGAAACCATCCATACACAACACTGATTGATAGTTCAGAACACATTACAGTAAAATTTTCTTACAACAGACAGTGCCCAGATGTTAATGAATACTGCACTTAGCTGACGAAAAATCATATAATTTAGTTTTAGTTTTAAGATAGAACCTTGTGAAAAAAAGTCTGTATTGAAAATAATATTGCAACAATACAGAATGGAACCAAGTCTAGTTGACTCTCAGTCATAGCTTGTGAAAATTACTCTAAAATCTGACATTTCACAATTGATCACCTACAAATTTCAGGGAGAAAAAAAAGATCCAGAAAATTTGGCGAGTTTAAAAAATGATAAAGGGCAATAAATATGTTAAGAGACAGATCCAATGGGTACTTTAGGAGGAATAGAGTAACACGAGTTATTGTTCAAGAGTGGAAAACAAACAGATAAAAGCAGGCTTCAACACCCTATCAAAAGATAATGAAACTTGTAAATTGATACTGCCCATATTAACTCAGGTAGGGATGAAATTGGATCTTTAAACATATTTTTTTTTTACCAAAGTTTATGTAAGATGTCAAGTGTTAACATACAGATGTAAGGCTGTTATACAGCAGCAAGGCGGCACTATCATCCGCTGTGCTGTAGAACTCACCCTGACCACTGGTTAGGCCTGCGGGACGAGGCTGAGAGGTTGTACAGGGATGAGGAGGAGGAGGAGGAGGGGGAGGGGGGAAAGATGATGATGCTGATGAAGCTGCTCTGGTCGTGCTAGCAATGGAGGTGGCGATGATGCGGCGCATATTTCCATCTAGAAAGTAGCAATTTGTCACTATTATCCTATTCTAATTCATCATGTTTAATTAATAAGGAAAATATGTAGGAAATGTTTCCAATTGACTTTTTAAAGGATTAACATCCACTCAACAAACTGCTACTATCTAATCGTTATGAATCAAAGCTAAATACTATGAAATTCAGATGTATTCAAACAAATATTTGTATGAAATGAAAGCAGCCTAAATTTAACTAATGATCAGAAGAAAAAGTGTGCAAGGTATAAGCAATATATATATCTGAGTTAGACTTGCCATTCTTTTCCTTTGTCTCTTCCTCTGTATCATCAAACCCAAACTCTTGTTTTAATCTTTCTGTTAAGCTCAATGGTTTTACAGGTTTTTTCACTTCAGCTGACTTTCTTCTGACAAGGTCTGAAGAACCTACAAAAATACAAGGGTTGAAGGCTTATAAGTAAGACTGACATCACTAATGAAAATATCTTTATGAATATATAAGCAACCACCATTGACAAAAATATCCCAGGTTCTATTACTTGGGTATTGTTATAAAATAATAAATGAATCTGATTCTTATAACGCTACTACTCAGTTGGTGCTGAAAGTGTCTCATCTTTCATTAACATGGAAGAACATCAAGTTTTACATATATTACATAACACCATAATACTTACTTTTAAAATGATATCTAGAAGAGTCTTTTGGCGGAGATGAATCAAAGAGTGGTAGTGATGGTAAAGATGGAAGTCTCTTTGTGTTGTGGAGGGTTGAGGAGCCACGAGATGTTGTTGATGAGGATGGCTTGTTGTATGATGAGGACATGGATGGAGATGGCATGAATGATGGTGACAGGGACGATGGAGATGTACAAGGATATGATGTGTATGATGATGATGAAGCTTGTGATGACGATGATGACAATGGACAGCTGCCACTTGGTGTGCTTTTCTCCTTGAGTCTTTTCCTATACTCCAACAGACTGACCTATAATAAAACATCCAAATCTGTGTTATTATCAGATTACCATAAATTGTACTTGGTAAAACATCTGTATAAGTTGTTATGAAACATGTTTTTAGGAGATACACTTGATTGTTTTTTGGCATAAACCATGCTTTCATACAACCTTCCAGTGTTGGTGGTCAAACTTTAAGCATGAAGAAATTTCAAGTATATATGCATACGTCTAAATCTTTAATCATTTAAATATTTTCTCAAGTGTTCTTTGAAAATTAGCAATCCTTTGATATTCTTAAATCAATACACAATGCTCAAATGAACACATTTTATGATAATAAATGATAACAAGAGGCCCAAGGGGCCTTAACGGTCACCTGAGGAATATATGTCAATAATCTGGGGATTTTAAAATGTTGCAAAAATGACAGACAAATCATGATGGCAAAAAGTCACCATGAGCCTTCGGCTCAGACGACCTAATAAAAGAGTAGTTACAGAAAAGAAATACACATGCCACAGAAACTGAATCGCATTATAGCTTTCTAATTACACAAGTGTTTTTTTTCTCAATATAAACAAATTACATTAATACCCACAACTACTACGGACGGTTTCTGGTAGAAAAGACGGCAGCTATTAAGATTTCATGAAGCTATTGTTAAAATTGTCCTGAGATCCTCAATAAGAAATCTGAGTGGTGAAATTTCTGACTTATTACTAAGACATTGGGTTTACAAGAGATAATTATATACCGAACACAGAAAGGAAAGGCAGCCAAGCTGGATATACAGGTCTCTTTTCAAACATGGTAAACAAGCACTATTCCTGGTTCTTACCTTTTTCTTTGTGGGTGTTGGCAGTGGAGGGGGATCTGAAGGTACAGATGAGGATGCTAAATGCGAGTCTTCAGATATACTAGATGATGATGAAGCTTCTCCAGTATTTCCTACTTCATCTGAGAGACCAAACTCATCAAATGATGGTGTGTCAGCCTCAGATGTATTTGGTAAACACATGGAGCCCGTAACACTGGGCAAACTGTCCTCCTCACTCTTGTCCATTTTTGATGAGACAGCAGCCTCCGAGCTGTCAGCAGAATCACTATTGCCTATTGTGTTAGATGTGGCATCTGATGCACAAAGCTCTGTAGATGATACCCCGACATTATCTGATGACTGTGACGACACAACTGGAGACACATTGTTCGATATCACTGATGAAGCAGAGTCTGATGATGCTAAGTTTCGTCTAAAATCGTCAACAGTTTGTGAGGACACTACAGATTGCACTGAATCCGAGGAGGCCAAATTCCTCCTTTCACTACTACTGCTAACATCTGATAAACAGCTATGTGTCTTTTCATCACTACTGCTGCCTACCTTCTCTCCTGACGTATCTAAGGAAACAACAGAAGAGGAAGAAGAATGTCTCACAGGCTCAGAGAAATCACTCACCGACTCCACCAGTGATTCCTCTAACTGATGATTGGTTTCCTGGTTACTAGAATTTAATAAATCTGTCCTAGAAGAGCCATAATCACTGTCTGTTGACTGATCAGCCAGAAGTATGGCCACTCTGTCTGAATCACTGGGACGCCTACCTACCAGCTGATCAGTATCTGTACTGCTGTCCACAACAGTCGCCTCCTTTGCCTCCGAATGAGTGACTAAAACACTACTGCTGCTACCACTGTCTGCTTGAACTGTCTCAAGCATACGCGGTCGCAATATTTTGTTCTCATCCACTTTGGATGTACTATCACACAGAGCAAGTTTGTTGTCTTGAGCAGTTTTCCCTCCCCCCACATTAGCACTATCTTCTGTACTGTCCACCTGCATGGACTCCTCAATGGAATCATCATTAATCTCACCTTCCTCAAGTTCAGACTCCGACTCAAGTTGTCGCGATTCCATATCGCTGTCAACCCTATTTGTCTGTTCTTGAATACTGTCACACTCAGACTCTATTGGGCCACCACCTTTCACATTTACAGATTTGTCACTACTTACATTATTATTAGCACTATTTTCACTTGCATTATTACAAGTCACAGACAATTCAGCCAAGTCTATAGATTTACTACCACGGCTTCTGTCATCTTTCTCAATTTTATCTCTAGTATTATCACTTATCTGTCCAATCTCTGAACTGGCTTCATGTATTTCCGATTCAGAAGACTTCTCTGCCACTTCCATTTCAAAAGAATTTAAATGTTCTTCAATTTCAGAGGATTTTTCATGTATTACATTTTCAGGGGATTTTTCAAGTCCTGAATCTTCGAGATCAATTGAATTCTTACTAGTAGTCATATCTACTGAATCACATGTTTCACTATCTATAGAGTTCCTGCCTCTCATAGATTTGTCTACACCAACATCTTCAGCTTCCTTTGATAAAGGCGTACTCTGAAATAAGAAGTTTATGTAAGTAATAAAATTTTCAAATTCAATACTTTCTATGTGTTACCTTTCTAACATATTTTTTTATTCTGAGAATCAGCGACAAACCCACTTTTAAATAAAATGCAAAATAATTAAGGACAAATTTTGACAGTTTTGAGTCTGATTTCATATAACCACAATTTTTTTTTGTTATCATTGGTTTGACCTAAATTTAAAAAAAAAATAATATCTGTCAATAAAGCTTCAAGAGTGCTTTCAAAAGATACAAACAAATGATCCACAGTTTCAGTCAAGCATTTGAAGCACTTGTGTGTTAAGATATTTTTGTTGTCTTTGGGTGTACCTCATCTTCCTCTTCCTCTAAGACAGTTGGAGTTGGATGATAGTCTGGCTTGCCCTGGATGCCACTCTCTTCGACCTCACCTAATACACTGTAGTCTACACCTACTGAAGAACAGCTTGCTGGAGTGGACGGAGTCTGTGGAATAGGCTGGTCACACGACTCCCGTGCAAACCGCCTCTTCTTCAATGGTGTCACAAAATCTGAAGTCAAACAGCATTAAACAGTTCAACATCTGTTTAACTTATGCAGTGCTTGGGTTGATTGTTTCTTTTTTTTCTTTTTTTTTTTTTCTTTTTCTTCACTTTTTTAAAAATAACTGCACCACCAATCACATATCAGAACTATTAAAAGAATAGCCAAGGTGACTTACCACCAGGAGGAGAGGCCCCAGGGCTGGGAATACTGGGCATGATGTTAATGGTATTGATAGCAGGGTTGGGACTTGCTCCTCCACTAGCTGCCACTGGGGACACAGAACCACTGTCAGGGCCAGGCTTGTCCCACATGGCCTGCCTTAACCATCGCTGAAATAGCAATGATATATTGAGTATTGGCACTAAAAACGAGTGTAAGCTTTTGTGTTAAGAGTCAGGCCCCAAATATCAGCAGATAACAATTATATCAGGATGTCTAGTTATCACATGGATTCCTTTCTCACAAGCTTTGCGAGTTACCTTTTTAGCAGATCCTATGCTGTTTTCTAAGCCTGCCCGTGCACCACCAGAGCTGTGACTATTTCGGCGAAGGTGGTCCATACTGTTGCGCGGGCTCGGTAAACATGTCACAAACATGGCATTGTCCTCTACTGCTACTTCCAATGGTTCCGTCTTCAGGCCTAATGGATTGCTATCCTGGGTCCTCTCACTTAACCACTCACTCATCAAATGCTACAACACAAAAAAAAAATTACTTTTTACCCAATCAGTATCTTCATCGTAAAAACACCATTGGAGACAGTTGGTGTAGGAGTTGGTAAAGATATGGCAGCAGCCTTGAGATTTGATTTTTGATCTGCGTAACATTTACTAATATTTTAGTGAGTCAGAAATCAAAATGTTGCAATCATGTTTATGCTCTGTGGATAAGTAAAAGTATTATCTCTGTGAAAATAATGGTATGACATGGTGCCATCAATCTTTACTTTTCAGAAAGATTTTTTCATTACCTAAATAATGCAATCAAAACACTGGCTATTGGATTGCAGGTGTTCAAACTGCAAGATTTGTCAAAATAATTGACAATCCTGAGATGATAAGACATTTAAAGATAACTACAAAAGGGAACCAGTCACAAATTTAAAATAGTCCATGCAATAATCACCTTTTTGGTTTTCAAGAATTTGAAAGATGGGGGTGTGGCAAGGTCTGTGCTTTGGACTGGTGTTGATGGACAACTAGGCAGTGTGTTACTACTCTCATCTTGTGAGATGGTTTCTGAGCTACAGCTGCTGCTCATCCTTCCCCTCTTCTGTTGTAGGTTATTAGTGATGGAGGCAGGGACTGTCAGTGGGGCCACACTTTCCGTACTACTGGTGCCACAGTTGCTGCTGAACCGGCGCTTCCTGGACGGCAAGGTGTTTGATGAAAGAGAGCTAGCAATCGTTTGTTGTGGTGTGGCCTCCAAGTTACAGCTGCTTGTTCTGCTTTTCCTAGTGTGTGTAACTGCAGGAGGCTGTGCAGGTGGGGTGGGCGTCACAGGGGTTGACAAGGATTCAACTTCAGATCCTCGTGAGCTACTTGTGTTAACCCGACTTTTTCTGAAACAATCATTGATACTGTTTTCTATATATGCTTGTTTTGTTTTACTTTTTATTTTCTGACCATCTATGAAGTGCTCCCAGTTATTTTCAATATAAAAAGTTGATTATGATATATCTTCATTAATTTACACCACATAATTACCCCTTTTATACCATACATTAAAAACTTACAATTAATTCATTGAAATATTTACCTTCTAGCCGCAGCCTTCTTTGCCTTTCTTCTGTTAAAACAAATCACATAATTCAATTGAAATAGTTATTTGTTGGTAAAATACTACTTTCTGTTTTCAAAACAGTAACAAGCTTGATCTTATTTGTCATCCATTTCAAAGGCAAAATTACTATTAACCTTGAGAACAGTGGCTTGAATGGTATAAAGAAAAAATCCAGTAGACCAGCAGAGTCTCAAAAAGGGATCTAAAATAGACTATTATCCCTAAAACTATATCTGTGATAACAAAGAAAATCATTGCTAACAAAAAAGTATGTCTTTCGTAATTTGCCAATTTTTCGTTTTCTTTCCTACCTAAATCATGTACATGAACTCCTTTCAGTTCTTTCAAATTTTGCTTCTGACAGAAAATGTCTTAATTTTTTATCACAAAATACTTACGTTTTTGGTTTACTTTCTCTTTTTCCACCTTCAACTTTGTCTGTCTCCTCCAGCTCTAAGACATTTTCTTTTGATATGTCTTTCAGAAGATCCTTTTTTGAATCTTGTTCAGACTTTGGAACTTTTTCTTCCTTATTTTCTTCACCAGTGCTCTGTTAAGGAAACCCATATCTCCTATTAACAACTACTTAAATACAGAGATGCAGTTTTAATTTATATCGGTCATTAATGTAGGGTATCATTTAAACCAATAAAATTTAATCATGGCAGTAGTTTACTTAAGTATATATCAGGTCTTAGTTCTGCATATTTTTGAAAATTTTATTAGCCCAACAATATTATTAGAGTAATTATTGAAAATATTTACTTCCTCAAACAAAGATCCCTGAGGAATGTTGGGGTTATGAAATTCACAATTTTGGTAAAGCACCTAAAGACTTTTCTATTAATGTAGAGCATGTGACTACCATATCCTAGTGATGAAAAAATATTTTTGAAATTTTGAAGTCAATATGACACCTTTTGGCAAACTCCTAAAATGAGAAGGATCCTCCCTGTATTTCTTAAGAAATGATTATTACAAGAATAGGATGTACAACAAACCATATGTGAAGGGCAATTTGAAGAACCCACCTAAAATCTACTTTTTTAGGACTGCTGAAGTACAAATTAAAGGTACTGTATTTAAGTAAATTGTTAAATGGAATGGTAAACATGTTTGCAGAAATTTTTACAAATCAGGGGGATATATGAGTAAGAGAGTAACAAACCCATTATTGGTCATTAAATTATCTTGTACAATAGCATGACTACAAACCTCCGCTGAGGTGTTAACCCCATCTGTTGCTGAATCGTGTCGTTGATGTTCTAGTCGTGCCAGTGCTTCCTTTCTCCTTTCTTCTCTTTTCTCCAACTTTTCAAAGGCTTTCATGATGGCTTCCATCTTTCTTTCTTCTCTTGTCTGTAGAGATGGAGGAAGTAAATCAAACAAAATGTTTCACAGTCTACAAAAGCTAAGAGCACATCCTTTTCATGCAATGAAAATAATTTAGTAACTTCTTTTGCCTTAGAATTTGTCAAGTAGAAAATAAACCAGAAATTTGTGTGGAAAAAAGAAACATTATGACCGTTTATGCATAAAGAATGTACCTTAGATATTTTATTTCGTTTCTCTGTTGATGTCCCTGAAGACACATCTTCTGAGTCACTTCCTACATCTGACACTAAAGGAGGAGCTGGAGTAGCAGCAGTAGTAGAAGCACTTTCATGTTGTTCTTCTTCCTCCTCTACCACAGGGACTATCTTTGGCTCCACCGTTTCCTACAGAACACAAAACAGTGATTAATGCTCGAAAAATAAAAAAGCAAGGCTGACGGATCTGAATATACCCTTTTTCTGTCTTTCTAATACTAAAGCAACACTGACTGACCAAAATCAAGGAAATCATTATCTGACCATGTCACAAACACTTCATGCTCTAGATGAAATTGATTCTGTCTTTCTAACACTAAAGCTCAACTCCTGAATATACCATTTTCCTGTCTTTCTAATACTAAATTTCAACTTCTGAACAAACCTTGCAAATATTATTGATTGAAATTATATAGCAGAATTTTAAAAGAATGGAGCCGATAGTGATGATGTAAGCATTATTGGCACTATTGGAAGTAAAGGACTACCTTTTTTACTTCCACAGGTGGGGGAGGAATCTCTTTTGAAGTCTTTGGCGGTGATTCCTCTACAACTTCCTCCTTCTTTACAACCACATCCATCATCTTTTTGATGGAAGACCTTAGAGGGGACTTGGTCGGAGACTTGACTGGAGACTTGGCGATAGGCTTCACAGGTGTTTTAGGAAAGGATTTGTCTTTTCTGAAACAAAACAATAATTCATATAAAATTCAAAATATAGGATAATTAAATATTTCTCTGCATAGAATATAACTATAATCATCCATTTTAATAATAATCATAATATGCAATGCACCAACCAATTGGTAACAACAAGGGAATATTTCTCGAGAATACTAAGTTACTTTTAAGTGCTTTACATATAAGTATATCCCATACAGATATGCACTTACATATTTCATGACTATATCAGCCTTTGAAAATAATATAAAATTGACTTACTTGTTTTGAGCATTTTGTTTTCTTTTGAAATATTTTGCTACAGGGCAGTTGTTTCTAAGGCAGGCACATTCAACACAGTAGGAGCTGTAAAGACAAAATCAATCAGTAGAGTGAACACTTTGTTTTAGTATAATCAAAGTTACAGTTATCATTATCTCAATTACGTATCCTGGTTTTGATATCAATACCTTCTAATTTTGAAGCTTAACCAGGGTGCGGCATCACACAATATGTCATTCAATGACACAATTTCAAAAGATTTTTTTTCTGAACTGCCACAAAATTTCAATGAATAAATTACAAAAAATCAAGGAATCAAGAGTGATCAATAAAGATGCATGATGTATAGCCCATTATTTCCTATTTAGTTATCAATTGTAAGACATTGTAGGCAGACAAGTACTCACCAATCCTTGTAGTTATAATCATATGGTATAGTAATCTCTGAGCCTCTTGGTATAACTTTAGCTGAGTAAATGAAGAAATTTACAACACCTTTTTCCATGACATGTCGTACCTAGATATAAGAAAAGAAAATACTATTGATTGAACACAGCATATATAAAACCAAACACCTATTAACATATACTTGTTTATGACGAAAGTCATGCCATCAAATCACTAATTGTCATCTCCATCACCAATTTTTTTTTTATCTTGAAATTTGCTTAAAAATAAGGGACATCAAAACAATTTCAAAAGCATCTTTATCACACTCATAGTCACTGATAGCAGATTCAATTCACCAATGAGACATCTTGACTGAGGTGGAATTAAGCAACATTCTATGAGAGAAGAATTTTTAACATCATATCATGTTGTATGCCTCACCTCTGCATTGGCTTTACAGGATCGCCTAATAAACCTTGCAGTGCTTCCATATGAGGTGGCATCTACACACAGCTCTATGTTATCATACTTGTTGTAAAATAATGCAAATGGGTTGAACCTGAAACAGAAAGTCATACATACTGATCATGATACAAATATCCTTACACTTTAACCTTGCCTTAAGCCTTTACCCCCTCCCAGCGGGAAATGTGAGACCCTAAGGTCATGAAAGTTACAATTTTGGTAAAGCATCTGAAGGCCTTTTAATCAAAGAAGAGTACTTGATTCTACCATACATCGGGTTTGAGAATTTTTTTTTACAAGTTTCAATCAATTTGACCATTTTTGGGTCTTGACCCTCAGGCCCCTGGAGGTTGAAGACCATATAACTTACAATTTTGGTGTGCCTTAAATCATGGAAGGTTTTTTCTAAAATTTCAATGAAATCAGTTCAGGAGTTTTCCAGAAGAAACTGAAAACGTTATAAGTTTATGATGCACAATGCCAGACAAAAAGTACTATGACCTTGACCCTTGAACAATGAATTCAGACTCGTCTGAAATATAACAGTTTCTTTTAGAGGTGTCAGGTTTAACAAAAACCTCTAAAGAGATGAAGCTGACAGTGCTGATAAATGTAAGTGTTCCATTACATAGAACATCCCAATATTCCCTCCTTAACATTTCTAGCATGGGGATAATTATGCCTATTATATGAAAACATTTCAATGTGTTTTTAATGATTTTATCAGGTTAAAAATAAATATAGCAATTTTTGTAAGGACGTCTCATCAAACCTTAATCAAGATTTTGCATGATATTTTTATTAGTGTTTCATGATAAATCAATGTTTCGTTTGAAACAAAATTGCAATCTGTAATTGAATATGTTATGTTAAACATGTTTATGCTGTTATACTGTCTTTGTGCTCTTTGCAATGCAACTGATCAAATCTTCATTTCAATATGAACCTTTGTCAGGTTTTAAATACAAATGGGTTCATCGAACATCTAAAAGCTGTATTCAGATTTGGATATTACTTACTGCCGGAAAAAGTTGTCCTTGTCAAACTGTTGTTTTAGTGACACCTTTCCTGTGTATTCTATAATTGGCTCTCCCTCGCCGATGGTTTCGGATGCCTCTAAACCCTAAAAGAATAAAAGACCCAGTTACTCTCGCTGCCAGAGAAAAGGTAACACTACTTCATGTAGAGATTGATTAAATATTTCCTTTATAAATCCTTTAAATCAATCATGCATAAACAAAGTAACTGATCAATTTGGATAGAACTGATGTAAAGGTTTATTGCAAAACTTTAGTTTAGTTGATTGTATTGGACAGCCAAACATTATACATATATTACCTTACCAAGGACCTCCATTTACTGTCCTGACAAATATGAACCAAAATGTTTGACTCAATATTACATCCAAATCCATACTCTGTCTCTCATTATCTATTACCTTATACTCTTAAAACTGATTGGCAAAAATAAAGTTTTAAACTAATTAAGTACATCAAACCAACTGGATTACCTTTCTGTTTTTGCTGACTTCAGTAACATGGCACAGTTGGGTTGGCAACCTTCCATTTAATGGATGAGGGTCATCAGCCTAATAAAGAATTAACACACAATATACTAACTTTTATCTTTGTTAACCTAACCTTAATTGTAATTAAGTATAAAAAAGAAACTGGCACTTCAACCTTCAACCATGCCATTGACAAATATATTACCATATTTTCTGGATTATAAGCTGCACTCTTCCCTCACAAGTAGGGCGTGGTCAAAGAAAAGTCAACAGAATAAAAAAAAACAACAACAAAAAACCCCAGAAAAATATCAGTACACTAGTATGAGACATTACTGAGTATTTTTAGTACCTGCCCGTCATTTGTATGCGAGCGAAACTTTGAAGCCGTAGCGAAAGTTTACAATAGCCTTATGCATCCAGGGATCGATGGGTCATCAGGTTATAGGTCAAGTTCTAGAACGACCGCCATGCTTGTTTAGGATATGTATGGTTTTAAGTAACTTACAAGAAATAATATGCAACTATAAGAATTTGATCGGCATTTTAGGGCCTTTGTTAATATTTAACAGTAGACATTGATGGAGAGATTGTTTAGTAAACTGTACATAAAGCCAGGTGCTATATCTGTATGAAGGCACCCAAACCAAAGGAGTAAGATATTTGCAATTTGATGTTTTTGAAATACATCAAGAAAATAAAGGATTATCTCTGTAATTCATTTGCAAACTTCATTAAATATTTCACCGATGATCTTGATAAACTGCCTTCCATTGTCTCTTATATTAACAAATGGTCAATTTAACAGTTACCACTTCGCAAGTAAGGGTGCAGCTCATATTCCCGTGTGGCTAATATGTGAATCAAATTTTTAAAATCGATAAAAATCAGCTCTGTGGCTTACAACCCGGAAAATACAGTACTGTTGACATCATATTATCATTTTGTTTTTTACCATATACAATACATATTTAGCCATGATACAATATCAGAGGTTGTAGTACCATTTTATGAAGAAAGGTAGACAATTACTGACTATTAAACAACTTACTGGTTGACCATTTATGCGTATAGCCATAAGTGCTTGAATATCTGGACTGTACTGATTTTCTTGTGCCTCCTCATATTTGTCTACCCAGGGACTGAATAATAGAAAACAACATTACCAGTGAAATATCCAAAATTCTAGACATTAAAGACAAGAATTATTTTAATTAAACAAACCTACATAAAGGACCAAGTCTTGAGGTTTTCTTCCATCAAAGTCCTTACTACATGAACTGTGTTTTGTATTTTTATATCTTCTTTGCATTTTGAAAACAAAAAACATGTTAATTTCTTCTTCACCATGTTCATTTTTCCCCCTCATTATTTCATCATCTTATCATTCCTCATACCATTTTTAACCATGCATCAAAGAGACTCATATTGTTTTTATCACGCAACAAAGAGATTTTTTATTCAAAGTCTTACCTGTAGCTACTGTCCCATGGATCCTGGGCATTTTCGTTCATGACAAGTGTCAAACCAGGCTTCTTGTTCAGCTGCCAAGAAAAAGCACATTTATAGATCGAAAATATTTAATGCAGATGAATATTGTCAAGTTTGATGTTCCGACATTTATTCTAGATGAGCAATCACTAAGGTTTCAGGTACAGACATGTCAAAGATTAATAAATAAATATGTGATACTGTCTATCTTTTGTCTAATACACTGATTTTATTATCTGCGAATTAAGTTTACCATAGGCTGGTCTAAGTTGTGATAATTTCCAGTTTCAGTTAACATGTTGAAAATGAAGTTGCTTCAAGATCACCTTTCTCATATTTAACAAGAGATCCCAGAGGGATCTTGACTCCCATTTTCATCTGATCTTTTTATAACAAATTTTCAATGTCAAAATCCAAGATGGCCACCAGTATACCATTATCTTTTTTCTGACCAGTCAAAAATCAAAAGAGAACTGGAGACTAAAGGTAAACTACATATCAAATATGAAAAAGTTAATAATGAAGCATTTCTCAAGAAATAACAATGAGAAGAATTGTTTACTGATGGAGCACAGACATTTTTCTACAGCTAATCAATTTGAAACAAAACTTACTTTAGATTTATTGATCTTTTTGCTTATGGCTTCTTTAATAGCTGTTTGCTGTAGAGATGAAATAACATTGCAATAAAACATATGTATATTTTCTTATAAGCATAGAAATGAAATCACTTGATGAATTATATATACTTCTGTAAGGATGAAAACTGACATGTAAACATGCAAAAAATGACAGCAGCAGCTATTGCAAAATTCTTTATTACCCTATATGGCAAACAGCAAGGGTGTATGGTATGTATACATACAAACAAGTCTTTACGAAAACTTACATGCCCTTAAATCTTTTCGAGATTTAAGGCGGGATACTCGAGAAAGCATTAGCTTATATTTTGTAATGGTTCAGCTAATAACTATGATGAAAACTGAAAAATTGAACTTACTTTCTGTTTTTTGTCTGCTTCTTTATTCTCTTTTTCTTTTTTGACATTATCTTTTTTCTCTTTTTTAGGCCTTTTCAACTTGACATCACTTTTATTTGGGGTTGTGGGGTTGTTCTTTTCACTGCGAACTCTAGTCTTTTTCCTATTTTTGCCTTTCTTTGAGTTGAGGAGTTGAGACATTTGTCTGTTCATTGCTTCTTCAGGGTCTGTATCAGTAGCACTAGAATCTGATTGAAAGAAATAGTTTTGTTGACATCTTATCAGAATTACAGTGACAGGAATGAACTGCCATTTGCTGCAATCGTTAGTATCATTTGAAACAAAATTGAAAATTTTGGATATACAATAATCCCTCAATAGAAAGGAGATCCACATCAATTAATCCAAGTGATATATCCACTTTAGCATCAGTAATAAGAAACATGGCTTGTACTAAGCGATTGATTCATGAATTGTTTTGTCATCAACATTTCTGTTTAAGAAAAACTAAGAGATAGATATTTTTGTGGTTTTAGGTTCCAAGTGACAAAGTGACAATCACAATGAAAAAAAAAACATATATGGCTCATTATTTACATGCAACATTTTAGTCTGTAACATAAAATTTAATCCGGCTTTTTTTTTAATCATTAAGTCTTGTACCATTGATGAGTAGCTCCTTCCTCTTTGTTTGTAGCTGTCGAGCTCTTTCTCTGTCCAAGACCCGAGGCTCACATATTTCACAGAAATAGGACTCGGGTATGTTGCTCCTGTCAACTCCCATACAGTCGATGTGTTGCCAGACACTAAACCAAATAAAAAAAAATCAGTATTTAATCACCTGTAACTAACATTCAATTCAACAGTATCAAACTGTGTAAAGGTCAGAACACAAAACAGAAGCTTCCTTTTGATTTAAGACCCCTTACTTTAAAATCTTGTTTCAATTGTAAATTGTGATAATTTTCTATATTTAATTAATCTTGATATCATTTTGTAAAAATCGAAGTTCAAATCTGTTATTTTAGCATCTGAAGTGTTGTATTGGAAATGTGTCTATCTAAATCTGAAGATGGCGACGTTCATAATGACGACATTGACATGCCGCAGTTTGGTGTCCCATGGATCATCATAAGAAAACAAAAACACATTTCTTTTGTAATTTCCAATCATGTTGATAACTTTCTCATCGAGTTTTATGAAAAGCAATATTTGTTATTTTGAAATCAAACACAATATGCATACTTAAAACTAATTTTCAAAAGTTTACGCATGACATCCACTCATACATAGGTTTAAAAAGCATGACAAGTTCCAAGTAAAAAGAGCTTTGAAAAAATTTGAACACTTGGATTGTGCTAGTCAATTGAAAAATAAATGCACTACACTTCTCTGGACCTTACAGGTAAGCAGGTCAATCTCTTGTTCAGGAACAGAAAGTGTGAAAATTTAGCCAGCAGGGCAGTGACATCAACGTAATGCGTCCAGGTGTGACACATGGCTCTGGAGGCAAGAATCCATAGTTCTTGTCCTCACTTACCTGTGATTTACATGTGGTATTTTTTGTGACAGTTGCCAAAATGAAGTGATATTGAGCAATGTCCACATGAAAATAAGTGACATTTACAGATGTTGGATTATATTTACAAGGATTCCAGAGTTACCTTGGTTCCCACCATTGTTTGATCTTTATTTGTTCTTTGAAAGTTGGATCTTTTCCCATTTTTATCTTCTCTTTTCTGTTTTATGATAAGAAATTTGCAGAAATATAGATAATAATCGTAAAATGTAAACTGCCCAATCCAAGATGGTCACCTGTGGGTCATTTTGTTTTTTCTGATCAGTCCCAAAATCAAACTGGCACAACTAGGGACCAAGAGAAAACTACATATAAATTTGAGAAAGATCCATCCAGTTATTCTCAAGTAATAGCAATAATAAAAATTGTTTACGGACAGACACCCAAAGATCACAGACAAAGAATGTTTTGAAAAGCCCTTCATCTGATGATGGTGGGCTTAATATATAGGGGAAAAAAATCCAGGTTTCAAAAAGACACGATATTCACTTGTAGGTAACATTATTAATCAAATCCACCATTTACAAAGTTGACAAACGATGGACAGCATGGCGAGTTAAAAACATTTTCAACATGTTGAAGTAATGCTCAATGTCCATCCCAGCTGTACATACCTGCATTTGTCACAGCAGATCATGTAGCCATCATCATGTGTGTAGTCACAGATGCACCTGGTAATACTGTCATCCTCCACGGAGATCTCGCGTGCTACCTCTGTGGCAGCCACAGCTGGCACCATTACCACATCCTCCACCTCCAGCTGGAGAGCCTTTTCCACCTGTGGAGGAGATGCTGGCGGGGGAGGTGGTGATGGAGGAGGAGTAGGTGGTGGTGGAGCACCATAATTGTGATCCTGAAATTATCAGATTAGCTTGTGTGGTTTTCATTTTTTTTGGTTTTGTTATTTCTTTATTTTAGATTTGTCTTTATAACTTAGTCAAAAAATTACTCCAAACAGCTCATCATTTTCCTTGAAAAATCCAACATAATAGCTTGTAAGCCATTTTGTTTTCTTGATCAGCCTCAAAATTCAATTGGCTCAAATAGAGATTGAGGGGAACTACACACCAATTCTAAGAAATCATAACAGTCTGACATCTGATGATGGTTGGCTAAAGATAAGTAAGTAGACTTTTGATATTTCTTCTTGCTGTACACAATTAAATTCACAAGTATCATAATCAAAGCCTCAAAGCAGACTGACAAATGGAAAAGAAAAGTATGTGCTTACTTGGTAAGGCAAACCAAAACATCCCGGGTAAGTCTGTGGTATCATGTAATATTCTCCTGTGGGACAATCCACCACATCAGTGCTGCAACAGAAAACATGATAACAAACTTTCACAATGGTGCTGAATTTATCTGAGGAAAAAATTGAATATCTAAATATGCACAATGAAAGGTACAGAACAGTTTTACAGTAAACTTTATAGTAAGGTAGGAAGTAGTGTTATACATTTTCACATCTTGTTTGTATATCTTTAAACAAACATTGCAAGAGATTTGGTTAAAAACTCAGCCGTATCAGGTGATTAGGTTATCTGCCTGTATATTATGTATCAAATGTTTGTGAGACAAATGTAGAAATAATTGCCTGATGAAATAAAACTTACTCATTAACTGTATCTTTTTGTCCGCTGTCATTTGTATGGACTACCCCTAGCCTCAGGACCACACTCATCGTCAAGGTTCTACATTGGGCCTAATTATGGCAGTGGACATGAAATTGTACATGAACAGTTTCCTCCATTGCATCAACACACTACCTACAATGTAGTAAAAGATATCATGAAACTTAGGAAAAAGAATTTTGTGCATTCAAAAAAACAGGTGAAATGTTTCATCCAAATTTGATGCTGTACAGTTTCAACTGGTTGCAATGAGTACCATCTATGCAAAATTTCATAAGAAACAGATGAAGTCTAGGAGAAAAAATGTGAGAATTTTTAATTATTTTCAGTAATCCCATGCAATCCTTCCATGTAAGTAGCTTGTGTACCAAATACATATGTGTATGGCTATAATCTTGTGACCATTAGAGGCATAAAGTTACTGTTATGATATCTAGTATACCATATCATCCCAAAGCCCAGTTATGATCATAGCAAAAAAATCACATATATTTACTTGCTCTTGACCGCTTTTTTGTTTAATAACTTCATAGTATCAAGTATTCACACAATCACAATTTCTCTTATTCTAACCAATATGCATGCACTAATTATGTCTTACCAGCTGTCTGCTTTGTTATTCAAAAAAGTTCCCAGTGAATATTAATTTAATTATTAGCATACAATTGATCACTAATATATAAGATTTAAATCTGAAAACCCTCAAAGATAAGAATGATGCAATTTTCAACATTATTGCAGTCACATAGTTGATTGAATCCATAAATAACTCAAAAATATTTAAGGAAGAGAGAATATATAACCATAGCCCATTGTAGGCATTTACATCTCTTGGGAAACTTAACTAGATGCCTGTGATATTCCTAAAGGAAGTCTCACCTGATGCATCATATTTTCACTTTCCAACAGGAAAGCCATTTTTTATGTACATGACCTTATATACATTCCACTGACAATTAAATATAATAAAAAAAATGATAGATTGAAAAACATCTGTTGACAATTGATAAGGAAAACCCTATAATTTTTTTTCAAGCATTAAACTTGTCATTCTTCTGAAATAAGTCTTCTACACTACTTATTATTCTGGTAGAATTGGTCACATACACTCTTTCATTGCAGTCTCGTAATTGAGTTCAAATATATTAACCTGATCCTGAAATACGTTTTCAAAAATTGGCTTAAGAAATATATGACTATGAGGGTTTGCTGGTTTCCAAAAAAATAAAAGATCCATCAACGAAGCAAACCCTAAATATGGCATCACCCTGTCACTACATTTAGATAATGCCAATATCTACATAAATGAATGTAAATGAAAGGAAGATTATGGTAGCCCTTTTTTCAAAGACACATTTAAATGCTAATCTGATTAAACTATAAACTCTGATAGTAGGGATATACTATAAAATGAAAATCAATTTGCAGTGGTGCATGTAGATTTTATGCTAAATGTGTTTTGACTGTTATGAATTCAGTGTTTTCAACTTAATTAACTGCACTTTATCAAAATTTATAATTTGACATGCACCTATCGTATATACTGGAAAGTCAATACATACTATAAATACTTTGAAATCATATTTAAATGATAACAGGCAAATTACCGATTTTCAATTGTTTCAATTAGATCTGAATTTTCTGATGATTTAAAATTATACATAGCACACCAATCCAATCAGATTGAAGAGAAAAACCGAAAATGCATTTTAGTATTTCATTATATGTATTCATGTCATTTAGGCCTTTGTTCACATACAATTTTGACAAAGATTTACTATAAAGATGTTGTCCATGAAGCAGAAGATGCTTACCTTTATAAAACACCTGTAATTTGGGAAATTTGACAGAAAAATAGATATAAATGAATAACTAGAGACATTATATCAAGTTCCTAATATTTGTCCGGTGTAAATAAACAATACTCTCACTCTTTGAAAAGTGAAGAAAAATAATAGACCTGCCTTAGTCAGCATAGAAACAATAATTGAGGGGGAAAAGTTGATTATTTCTCTCCCTTTGATAAAAGAACAGATTTCTGACTGAAATATATGAAAAAGGTTGTCAGAATGATTTACAGTAGCCCTAAAACAATGGGATCACAAAAGTGTACCATTATATTATCTTTTATTTTACTGGTGTAAAGCCCAATGCTGATCAATGTTTGAAAATAAGCAAAAATCAAAATCTAATAGCATACTATACTTGCCAGCCCTTCTCATTAACTGAAGCATTTTGATGTTGAATTGCACATGATGTGTAACAACCAATTTTTCAGGAAATGTGCTTTCAGAAATATTATAATCTGAATGCAAAACATGTACTTGCCAAGAAAGGTCAGCCACCACTAGTTAAAATGGTATATCATTCTATATAAAGCTTCTTGCTGCTACAAAGTAGGGTCTGTAATCTCTAAGCAAATATTTCATGGATGTTATTATTTAACACAGTATTAATTTTATTGTTTAACACGTTTCTTAGCACACCAATCTTCAGTTTGTTCAGTTCAATAACAATGAATCACCATCATTCACTGTTTAGTTCTATGGAAACCTTACCAGACACTGCTAGCAATTATATAGGAATTATTCTGTAGAAGCAGACGAACAAGAGCTATAGATTGAGCCCTGGAATGTTCAACGACAGAAAGCTATTGCATGCATTAGAAGTTAATAAGGACTTCTTCCAGAGATCATAACGGCAAATATATGAATATTTTCAAAAACCCTAATAATTAAAATGGAGTTTTGACCCTGCAGTAACATGTTCACCGAATTCATTAACATAACAATTGCACGACCATCAGCCAAAATTTATTTCCAGATTAGCTGCTAGTTCAATACGATGAAACATTTCTTCTGCACGGTAATTTAAACTTCTGGTTGTTGAACTTCAAAGAAGAACAATAACAATGCTAAAATTAACGACTAAGACAGTAAAATGTTCTAAAATTCAAAACCTTCGGGCGCCATTTTGATTATGGCGGTCCAAAACGTTCGATAAAATTATTTTTCCAACCTTGTCTTTTTCGAGCTTCTACAAAGGTTAGCAATCAGGAATCTTTTGCATACTTACCAGTAAATAATCATCTTCCTTGCAAAACACAATTGCATGTCAAAATAAGTGTCCAAAATGAAAACAAAATAATGACAATCTAACTGTCAAAATCGCAAGAATGTTTAGAACTGACGATCTTGTTTACATATCACTGTTCACAAAATGCAGCAAATAAAACTTAATTGTGTCTTGCTTTAGGTTCCAAATGATAACGATATAAAGCTTTGCACATTGCACAATAAAGTAGTATCCATGTCTGCCATTGCAAATGCCTGACAGCTGTCGGAATGGGCCTATTCTAAACTAAAACGGACTTATTTCTTTTTCCGACGGCGGCCATTACAATTTGTTATTCTGCGGGTCTGACGCTAGAATGTAAGGGAGGGCCAACGTCCGGTGATGTCATTTTTTTCATAAAGTTACAAATGTCAGCGATTTGTTAATATTCTGTTATCTATAATAATTTTAAAGTTTGTTACATATCTATTTTTCTTTTCCTACTCTAATAATATTATAAATATTCTAACCTCCGGTAAAATCCGTCAATGATCGTTTTGTTGCCGATACGCATGCGTGGTAATTTGGCAGGAAAGAGCACTTGGCCGAAATGTAAATAAACTGTCAACGGGATGATGCAGGCAGGCAGAACAGTTGTACCGCTTTAAGTGTGAAGATGATGTACCAGTCCTCAAGTGAAGATGAATCAGAAAATGAAACGAATGAAGATGAGATCACAGACGTTCTTAATCCCCAAAACAACAGTGCAGAGCAGCAGAGTCTGTCTACTAGCGGACAGAGTGGGGATAACTTGCCAAGTCTCTTGCCTCATGGCCGGTCCAACAGTATTCGGCCGTCAAGTCCCAGTCCGTCCCTTCATAGCGACAGAACAGAAAAGGGGACTGATGACACGGAAAAACTGGAAAGGGAAGAGGAGGAGAGAAAGAAAAGGCTTCAGTTATACGTGTTTGTGATGAGGTGTATCGCTTATCCTTTCAACGCAAAACAGCCCACTGACATGGCCAGACGACAAACGAAAGTAACAAAACAACAACTACAAACAATAAAGGATAGGTTTAACGCATTTCTCAATGGTGAAACAAGTATCGTTGCTGATGAAGCATTTACAAATGCAGTGCAAAGTTATCATGAAGTCTTTCTTAAGAGTGACCGTGTTGCAAATATGGTTAAAAGTGGTGGTTGTTCTGCAAATGATTTTAGGGAAGTGTTTAAAAACAATATTGAAAAAAGGGTAAGGAGTTTACCTGAAATTGACGGATTAAGTAAAGAAACAGTTTTAAGTTCATGGATGACAAAGTTTGATGCAATATTTAGAGGGGAGGAGGATCCGAGAAAGCAACCCCAAAGGATGACAACAGCAGCATCTGAACTGATTTTAAGCAAGGAACAACTTTATGAGATGTTTCAAAACATTCTCAATGTCAAAAAATATGAACATCAAATTTTATACAATGCATGTCAGGTAAGTACTTTGGGTTTTTAAACAAAATTAGATGTAATAAAAAAGAACGCTTTTTGGAAAAATCAGTTAAGGGGGAAAAATACTTTTAATGGTTCACAGAAGTAAAAAGTTTTAAAATGAATGTTGGTTGGTGTGGTTAAAGAGAAAATGGGAGTTATACAATTTCAAATGGAAGAAAAAAATGACTACAACTTACTCTAGACAGAAGTTAGATTACAGTTTTGTTTTGTATGATAACATCTGGTAATATATTTGTGTTCCACTTATTACATACATGGATATAGAACTTGGTTGTGGTTGTCTTTGGGAGGAAGACTTTATGAAGGAGAAAGAATTGTAAAAGTACACTATGCTAGTCTCGATGAAATATTTCCATTAGCTTCTTGCAAGCGGTAATCAAGAATATCCGAATCGAGCCAGTTTGAACCCCATTCAAGGCAGGACATTTAAATACTTCATTTTACATGCATGTATGCTTGTGTGTGCTACATGTTTACTTATATTCTCTTGATATTTATGTGTTGAACACTACATGGATCCCTGGCACAGTACATTAAAAACTGTCCTGGTATACACAAGTTGATCAAAAAAATAGTACAATACCTGAAATTAGATCAGATCATGAAAGAATAAGAATAATATATTGAACATTGGTCTCCACCTTAGCAGCTTTGAATTCCCAATGTAAAAATACACACATATTTGTTCCACGCAATGTATCATTTTTTGCCTGTTGGTTCCATTGCTGTATATATATATATATGAATATATATCATTACTTACTTGGATTGGCCTAGATTTACATGTTGGGTGTCATCAATAAGCAGAAAAGACTTATATATACCTAGTGTTATTCTCCTTGTGCTTTTGCTGCTATTTTGCCCAAGCTATATTGAATTTGAGTTTGGATTATGATTGTTCACATGTTGGTATTTTCTCGTTATTATCTAGATTCTGTACTATATACTGTAAAAGACGAATATTCTGTCCCCATAACTTGCATTAATACATTCATGTACCTATAATTTCTAAGTCAGGCTACTAGTGATATCACAATATTTTACAAATCACTAGTACTCATCAGTATTCAGATGATAGATTTGAAGAATTTGTGAACATGTAAGTGATATACATAATAAAAAACAAGGAAAATGCAGATTAGGCTAAGTGTTCAATCATACATTAACTTTTCTTTTCTTGCACTAAAAAAACTGTTATAGATGAATTTATATGAGGGAAACCAATGCAAGCATTGTTTATCATAGAAATCTGACAAAGCTCCTGATAAATATAGACCATTAGTAATCGGACAAATTTAATTAATTTAGACCATTTGATATGTTGCAAAGCTCCTGATAATTTGAAATTGTTTTTCTCCAGTTTTATAGTCAGTTATCAGTAATGTATCAGTAATCACTGCCTTAGTTGTTCCTGTGTCTTTCTTGTCTGATTAACAAAAATGGACGAGGAAAGGTTAAATTGTTTAACATCATGACTTTCAAATAAATACTGATGTGAAAATCTTTGTATTCACACTCTATTTCAATTAATGGGGCAAATAAGTCTCCAGCCATTCTATTACAACTACCTAATAGGAAAGGTCAGACTGCAGTTCACAGGTGTTTGTCTTGCCTCGCTCCATCACAGCTACCAAGAAGAAGAGGTCAAATAGGTGTTTGTCTCGCATCACTCTCTTTGGAGTGACAGTATTGGACCAAAGAAGACTGCCTGGACAGAACCTTAGGGACCCCTTGTATTACACTGTACACTAGTCTGTTACTTAGACCTGGCCAAACTCTCACAGTGTCCCAAATGAACAGAGCTTTTTAAAGACTCATCATAGGGGATAAAGCCCCTTCCCTTCGCATCTGCTGAACACTGGTGAATCTCATTGAAAGCAGCAGATCAACCAGCCTCACTATGTCAAAGCTACTTGACAGGAGGGTTCAGAGTCTTTGCCAGTACATACAGGTGTTTGAAATAAAACCAAAGAAATTCATAACCTGTACCTTTAAATTTGCTGTTGTACCTTTAAACATTAATATGTACAATATATGTACAAAATCCTTTGGAAGAGTTATTGATATTTATAGATGGGTGTGTAATGTTATTCATTTACTGGTTAATTCAGCCTATTTAAAGAATATACCTAATTCATGTTGAGTATTGATTTATTGATTGTAATTCCTCACTTGTGTTTGTGATTCTTGTTCTATGTACAGCAGAATGAGAAAATGCCACAGATGGTGTGATTGGTGTAGAAGATGATCTTGTTGCGATCTGTGATTTTGGAATTAATTTGATTTTAACGATTAGGGTATACTTCTTCTTTCTTTTCTTTTACTTCAACTTGATATGACAGAGCATTTTATTAAATTTGGTTTCCTATGGATTCTGACAAATGTTTTAACCAGACCAGTGTATCTAACCAGAGATTTGGATTTCATCTCATGTAAAATAAGATAAGATACCTTTGCATAAATAGCATTTTTGTAATGCCATCAAGTTGTAATGTCACAATTGAAGTAATTGGAATCTTTAGTCAATGACAGCTAGGTGATACTAATAATGTGGTCATAACACCACTCATGTAATGGTTGTTAATACTGATTACAGGTTTGTTATAAATGTATTTTTTCTATACTTGCATATATTAAGTCTGGTAATTTTATTCTTTGTATTGGTAAGAAATTTCAGATAGCTGTGACTATATATATGTGATAATCAATAGATTTAAGGCAGGTTATCAGTAAAGAATGAATGCAATTTAAAAAAAAAAAAATTCTGCTGAGATCAGAGCACCATTTCCAGAATTTTGATTAGTCCAGTTACAAAGAAAAAAAGTTGAGTCCTCAAAATTCAGATGAAACCAATAAAAAACATGAGTTATTGACTCAAATATTTGAGTCACAGAAATCACTATGTAATATATATTTGAAAATAGAGATATATGTATACACACATGACGATGGCTTTCCTGTTTCAGCTTAATATATCAGTAAAACATTTGTTTTGTGTGATATTTAAATTTGCATGATTTGACATTTACAAATATCAATATTTGTAGCAGATGCTGATAGTCTAGATGATACTTGTTTGCATTGCCCCATTATGATGCTTTTAGAAATTTGACAAAATATTGATTTATTCTTCATCAATACTAGCTAAAGTACTGCAGGTATTATTATGCTGCCTCGGAGTTACAATTTTTTTTTCATTTCAAAGGTTTCAAATGTTAAAATGGAAATGAGATATCAGCTGTACTGTTTTGACACTGAAAGAAGTTCAGTTATTTAATGATATTTTTTTGGTTGGTTTAGAGGAAGGTCTAAGTGACCTATTCTAATCATCTTTTTTTTCCTGTTGTAATGCATTATCGGTTGTCACTCATGGTGAGTAAGTAAACAAGATTTGACTTCTCAGAAACCCCAGAACCATTAGCATTAAAATTTTGAAGGAAGCATCCTTGAGACAAAGTTTCTTCTTCTCTAGATTCAGATATCTTAGAAAACAAACTCTTCATTGATGGAAGGGTCAATGTGCTTTATGAAATTTGTCCATTTCATGGTCCCATAGGCTCCATGTCTGCCACTTCGGTAGGGATGAAATTTATTATAGCTAACCGGTACATATAGGAAAATGATACTTTTATGTAAAATTTGTTCATTATTAAAACTCATTATTAAGAAAAAATAATGTTTTCATAGCTGCAAGATGAGTTTTGATACCAAGACATTTTCTACCCTGGTCTGCCTATTGGATGAGACCAGAAATGGGCCATAACCCCTGGACTCCATGTTTGCAGTTGGGATGGAGTTACAGTTTAATATAGTTGAAGATTATATATGAAAATGATACTTTTGAGCATACTTTGTTTAATTTCTGTTGGAAATATCTCATTTCAATCATAGCTTGGGTTGAAATTTCCTTTATTTTGTTTTAGAAAATTATATGTTTGAGCATAATTTGTGTATTGCCATCTAAAACAATTAAAACTGGGAAAGAATTATTTGTATGTTATGGTACTTTTATATGTATATTTTGGCCCTGGTTAACCATTGGGGTTTAAGGGGATGGTAAGGTTTACTATACAATGTAATTTATATCAGAAAATTACATTTTTGTTGTAATTGCTATAAATTTCCACTGGATATAATTCAAACTAGGGATGATTCTTTAATGTTATGCACATTTTAGAATTGCATTACATGAAAAATGTAGTTCAGGTCAAGTTTCAACAACAAAAACAACAGCATGTATAGAACTCGAGTGACTATTAAGGCCTTTAGGCCTCTTGTTTTCAAATGCATTTGAAGTGTTTAAATGGAAATGACGCACTTCGTTTTTAGGAAGGTAAAATTGATGATTGATGGATTGATCCATATCTTTAGAGGTTATTTAATATATTTGGACATGAAAATCAATAACCATGCCAACTTATTCTCACTCAAGTCTTAGCGATCATGCACAAGTGGTTCCATGGAGATTGGATTTGCTTCAGTCTGCTGAATTTACAATAGTCAGTAATCAGATGTAACGGTGGGCTCTGTGATTGCCAGTGTTCCGTTATATTGCATACAAATTGAATTAAGAAATAAATAATTTTTCTCAGACATTTGTGAATGTATAATATATGTTGTTATCAGACTAGCAGACTATTTCTATAAATATTGCAAATAAAATGGTCTCTTTAATATGAGATGATATACTGGGTAATGAATTGAGTTCAACGAGCATGTAAAGGGTCAAAGTACAAATGCCTCTAGCACCATTTTAGGGGAGTGGTGGGGGCCTATAGTGATGCCCAGTTTTTCATTTATTGGTATAAACAAATTCCACACTAAAATATAACACTGCAGTGATACATGTTACCTCAAGTCGGATTTCAATATGGCTGATGCAAGTTTTTTTCATGAAGTTATCTAATGGGGAATGTTTTGAGGTACATCATTTTTAAGGACATTGTAAGATTTTTCATGAAGTTATGGGGAATATTTTGA